AAAGGTAATTAAAGTATCTGAAAAAAAAACTTTTAAGAAAATACTAGTTAATTTCAGCAATGGTGGTAGTCTATTCGAAAAAAAATCACGTAAAAATAAGAGTTTGCCAAAACCTTTGAAAATTCTTAATTTATATGCTTGACACCCTATCGATTAACTATTCAATATTAGACTGATGATTATGCTAAAACCAAAGTGGTCTACAAGTATACAAGTAAAACACGTCTCATTCGATCATTTCAACCAGGTAACTTTCCTCCTCACACTTGAACACAACTGCAACCTCGCAGTTGGGAAAACAATGTTTAGGAGTGTAATACCGGGTTGGGATGATTGACTAATAACAAAAGAACTCACACATCAATAAATCAAAAGGAGTTGATTGAAATAGAAATAGAGCAAGTGCATAAGTAAATGTTACCGGTGGAAAATAAGAAGTTCCAACAATCCAGTTGATCATCAATTCCTGCTCATAAACGAAGAGAAATAGTTTTCAAAGGAAAATAATATGAAGATCACTAAGGGGGAGGAACAGAAGCGGATGGATCGTCGCCCTCAGGAGAGCGAGGGGTGAGCCCAATGTGCACATCTGAGTAAAAGCCAGTAAAAGTCCTCCGAAGCAGGGCAAAGCTCTCAGCCTGGGATGCCTGCTGCTATCCGATTTCGGACATCCTCTGCATGATGGTATCCTGCTGCTCTAGGATCCTCCTAGCCCATTCAGGGGTTAGATCCGCCTGGGTCGTGGCTGGAGCGGCCTGAGAAGTGGGACGGCGACGAGTGGCTCTCCTAGACGAGACCTGCGAAGATGCTCCTGAGGTCGAGGGCGCAGATGAAGAAGCACCGTTGCTCTCGGTAGAGCTAGCTCCCAACCTCCTACGGATGTGAGCATTCCTCAGCATGCCCGCGTCCAAATCTCGCATCAATATCTGTACCTGCGGAATGGGCGCCGCCCTCTCGAGTGATCGGAAGAGTATGGTGACCACGAAACCACAGACAATGTGAGTCCGATTCCCCATAGACTGGCTGTAGAGGAATCGGGCCACAAAGACAGCCACATTCGCCTCCTGGCATGTGTGCAAGCTCCAGAAGACCATCATGTCATCGGGGTATACCCGATCCGTGTTCAACGGCCTCCCAAAGAAGGACGTCGAAAGCACAAAAGATAGGATTCACCAAGTCGGCTGAATCCAAAACCTGGCCCGACCCATTTCCTCAAAGCGGTCAGGGTCGGAAGAATGTTCCGCCCAAAAGTCAGCAGGATCAACGTCCGCAAGGAGAAGGTATGGTGCGGCATCAAACTCTGGCGCCAACGTCTCCTCCCGAGAGTAGAGACCCAAGTGAGTGGCCAGCTCGGCGATCGTCAGCTAAAATCCCCGCCCCAGGAGAGTGAAGGTGAGGGTGGTATGAGAGTCGATGGACTGGAAGTTCATCGACCGTGACCCCGTAGACGGCTCCAGCTCAAGAGAGCACAGAAACTCGATCGTCAGTGGCAGGCTGGACTCAGCTCGCATCGTGAAGAGGCAATGCCACCTCGTCCCTCGTAGCAGCTGCTCCATCTCCTCAGCGTATCCGTAATCGGTGAGTGCCGAGGACAGGTACACAGACTCCGTCAATGAGCGATGGCGGCCCCACATCTCAAATCGCTCGATGGGCCCTGAACCCACCAAGTGAACATCGGCACGCGTAGCAGTCGGGAATGCTGGCCTGTGAGGCATCTGCACATGAAATACACATATAACATCTTGCCCCCATATAGGTGCGACATGTCTCCGTTCATTTATTCAAATAAAGAGTAACAGAAAATAATAATTGAATAAAACAGAGAGAAATAACGGGTTGCCTCCCGTTCAGCGCTTCTTTAACGTCACTAGCTTGACGCAATTACTTCATCATTTGTGGAGTTTAATCTCCACCTTCCCTTTTTGAAACTGCTCACCAAAGTACCTCTTAATCTGTTGCCCATTGACCTTGAACGTACCAGATTCACCTCTCAACTCTACAGTCCCATAAGGGAAGATTCTGGTGATTGTGTAGGGCCCTGTCCATTGGGAGCGAAGTTTGCCTGGGAACAATCTTAAACGGGAATTATAAAGCAACACTCTTTCGCCTTCGTGGAAGACCCTATTCTGCTTGATATGAGCATCATGATAAAGCTTCATCCTTTCCTTGTATAGCTTAGCATTATGAAATGCTAATGCTCGCCATTCATCTAGCTCATCTAGCTGATAAAATCTTTCTCGCCCAGCTTCAGAAGAATCAAGGCAAACCCTACGCAGTGCCCATAATGCCTTATGCTCAATTTGTACTGGAAGGTGACAAGACTTTCCGTACACCAAGTGAAAGGGAGTTGTACCAATTGGGACATTATAAGCCGTGCGAAATGCCCATAGGGCATCATCAAGTTTCTCGCTCCAATCCTTCCTCGTTCGGGCAACAGTCTTTTCCAAGATTCTCTTTAAATCCCTGTTTGCGTTTTCCACTTGCCCTTGCGTCTGAGGGTGGTACGCCACTCCTCCTCTATGCTGAACTCCATAACGCAAAACTCCCATAGTAGTAAAGGGAACAGACTAGATCTTCTAAAAGATCAGTTTATCCCGTGTCGTCTCAAGGATCGGCCCAAGGGAAAGTTAAGCAAGACTAGTTAGACAAGATTTACTCAATGAATAAAAAAGTTTTCAAAAGGTCGAATAAGGAATGGAGATTGAATTTTTATCTTTCAGAAATAAAAGGTAGGGATGTAATTATTGGTTAGGTGATGGTTCTTTTTAGAGTAAAATCACCAGTTACTTAAATCTTTTTACTAGTAAGTAAACATCTTTTCAATTATTTACTTAACAATCAATCCAATGTCTAAAGATCAATTATCAAACTACGGGACTTGACTTAATTAAATTCCAGATTTCTCAAGAAATATAATTTTCAAAAAAAAATAGATTTGCTTTCTCTCGATTTACAAATCTCAAGTATAAACTCTCAGTAATAAAAACTAGTAAATTCCCTTTTATAATTCAACTCAATGATTCTCTCAGAAAATTACCATCACCATTCCAATAATCACATCACTGATATGCACATATTTTATACACTTTTTAGACATATTTTGAAGGAGTTTTGAGTCCCAATTGAATTTAATATTTATATTTTGTTCCAATTTTCCGTTTTATTTTGGTAGAGCAGTCCTATGCTTGGTTTTATATGTTTTGCAGGCATTTTGAGGTCATTTGGATGCATTTAGGATAATTGCAAGGACGGAAAATAAACATGGAAGTTTGGGACCAAAATAAATGGAAGAAACTTGAAGGAATGAAGGAATCAAACAAAAATAAAGCATAAAACAGCCCTGGGATTCGAACTCTGGACGTACGTGCGGCATGTGGAACCGGAGCTTTGACCATCGCGCCGAACCTGATTATTCGGCATATCACTGGCGAACAGGATTAATGTTCTTAACTGAAAGTCGGCCATTGATCCAGAGAGAAAAATGACAAAACAGTGAACGGTGGGAAGCTTCGAACACGGGTGACACGGCAAGACAACCAGCTGCATTTCCATGTGCGCTACTGTAGCTGTATTGACTGGAATTGTAACTTTTCGTATATACTCCATATATACGAATTTATCTATAAAATCCACTCCCTTCTCTTCTTCAAGGAGGTTGGAACCCCCATTTTCTTCCTTCTCTAGTCCGAAATTCTCCTCCTCCATC